CAGACCGATTAGGTAAGTCATTTGGGACTTGCGGAAAGGTGTTATAACAACTCACCACATTCGAGTATTGGGGTGAGTCCATGGGAAGTCATCAATGGGCGAGCTATTGAAGGTCCTGTGGAACTCGGTGTGGCCGAGTATCATGGAGAGCTACCCGCAATGGAGGCATTCATGGTGGAAAGACTCAACATTTGGAATCTAGTGAGGGATTCCTTGAAATGGGCGCAACAAAGGCAAACCAAGTACGTGAACCAAAAGCGCCGGGACGTAGAGTTCCAAGCTGGGGAGAAGGTGTGGCTGAACACCAAGAACCTTAGGCTACCAAGTGGGATCAGCCAAAAGTTAACCCAAAGGTAAATATGCATGTATTCCTGTAAATGAATTGATCTTGAGTTCCTTAAGCAGGTTCGCGGGGCCTTACGAGATTGAGGCTCAAATCGGTAAAGTGGCTTACCGTCTCCGACTTCCTTGAGAGATGGGGAAGATGCATCCCGTGTTCCACGTGAACTTACTCAAGCCGTATTTTGAGGATCCGCTTCGCAAGGACGAAGTAAAACCTTTACCTGAGGTTATTCAAGGGGAAGAGGAATACGAAGTGGAGGCCATCCTCAATGCGCGCAAGAGCAAGCGACAAGGACGTGAGGTGAGAGAGTTCCATGTGAAGTGGAAAGGATTTCCACACTGCGAAGCAACATGGGAACCGGAGGAGAACCTAGCGAACGCGCGAGATCTAGTGGAGGAATTTCTGCAAGGTAGAACTCTATGTACTTATGCAAAGTTCAATTAAAAGTATCAATTTGAGAAGTTGAGCAATGTCATATATTGGGACCCGAAGGCGCGCCGAAGGTAAGCTAATTAGCATGGGTTAGCTAGGTCGACCAAGCGTAGGGAGCTACGCCTGACTCTCTGCGAGGATGTCGAATCCGTAGACGTATTCTACGGAGGTTGGGTTTGAGTCCCAACCCCCTAGTAAAGCAAGGCTGGGTTCAAGTCCCGACCCCATACTAGGGCGTGGTGAGGTGAGGAGTATAGGGACACCTATATTCCGTTGTCATGGGCTCTTGGCCGGGGAGGCTAACTTAGGCACACCGCTAAGTGGGGGGATGCCCCTGGAGACATGGTCAACAAGTCGTAGGATAAAAAAAAAAAGAGACGTTCGATGTAGGCATCGAACTTCTTCTATGGGTGGTGGATTTGTAAGGAACCAACTCGCCGAGGTGTCGTAGGCTAAAGGAACCCCGAAAGAATGACCAAAATGACAAAGAGTTCATCGGATGGGACCAAAGTCGAAGATCAAGTCCAAGACCAACTCGGAGACCGAGTTCAAGATAGAGTCCAGAATCGAGTCCGAGGCCGACTCGGGGACCGAGTTCGAGACGGAATCTGAGATCCGAAATCGGGTCCGAGACCGAGTCCGAGGTCAAGTCCGAGGTCGGGTCTGAGATCGGGTCCGAGATCGAGTCCGAGATCGAGTCCGAGACCGAATCCGAAGTCGGATCCGAAATCGAGTCCGAGATCGAGCCAGAGACTAAGTCCAAATACTAATACGGGTCAAGGGGTGAAAGCCTAAAGCGTGCGTCTCCCAGGGGGGGGGGGGGGGCTGCAGGGGGTTCCAAAAGTATAGTAGGGATAGTGAGGTCCAGGAACCAGTTTTGAAGGGACTCTCCAGTGGGGCTTCCAAACTGACTTGAGGTTGAGACTGGGACCGAGGGGCCTTGGGTGGGAGTGAGTATGGACTTGGTTGGTGCCGGAGGGGCCATCCAAGGAAGTGCTCAAGAGCAGCTCCCACTCCCGAAAGGGAAACCGATTGCGGTGCTCCCGGCTCATGTGGAGTGGTGCCCCACATGAGTACCATGCGGCTCATTGGTCCTCGCCCTTCCTAGGGGCTTGGTCCTTCCCTTCGGGATGGAAGTGGGGGGTAGAGGTACCCATACCGGGCCGTTAGGCCACGGTGTTTCGCCCCGACGTCCCGAAGCAAGTGTTGCACCCAAGGCTTGGGATTTAGAGGGTCCCATGATCAAGTCTTGTTGTACCAAGGGGTGTTAGGAACCTGGAGGCTTTGTGTGCTTGGCTGCTTGTGCCTGCGGGGAGTGTAGCTGAACCTTAAGTCTAGTCTAACCCGGGGAGGGGGATTGGGAGAGATTTGGGAATCCGTAGATGGATGGCTAACACTCCGTTGCTCGTGCAGTGAGTAGCTGAAACCAAGTAGGACCAAGTAGGAGCTGGTACAATAGGCGAGAACCTTGGCAAGGGAACTTAGCACAAGCCAAGGCAGCGTTGGTCGGATAGACGAGGTAAGCTGGCAAATTGGAAAGGAAAAATTTGTGGCTTACAGAGTGTTGTTGGTGCTTCACCATATAAACTTCTATATGGTCATGATCCAATATTACCAACGGAGCTGGGTTTACCTTCGCGATTGCCACGAGCTCCCATTGCTAGGTCGTGGGATCAATATTTGACAAGCATTCTTCCACTTGTCCGAGCAGAGTCTGCCGAACACTTAGGCCGCATACAAGTGGGACAACAACGGCGCTACAACTCCCATCATCGTCCACCTACAAAGTACAAAGTGGATGATTTGGTGTTAGTCTGTTTTCCCCATTTTACGGTATGTGGTTTATCTAAGGGGCTCCTTGTGCAGTGGAAAGGATCATATCGGGTGTTGCGGCAATTTGGACTGCAAGTTTATGAGGTTCGGCATGACGTCTAGTAGGCCAATCCTCCGGAGGTTGTGCATGTGCAGCAGTTGAAACGCTTCATACAAAGGGATCAGGAGCAGTTAATACCATCTATAGATCCGCCGATGCCTCCTCCTAATGTTCCTCCAGATCCCAGCCCGTCTACCAGAGAACCCTAACGGCCTTCCATTATTCCGAGAGGAGGGGATGATATGAGGGCTAAGTGTACGGCTACGATGCCATATACTAATATTAGCGTAGTGGGATTTTGGTAGCCGTTGGATTGGTTTCAATCCGGACCACTCGCTCCTATATATAAGCAAAGGTTTTTGGGGTAATTGATATGCACATTTCTATATTCCCTTTCCATATTCCATGCACTCACAAACATTAAGAAAATATGCATATTAATTAGCCCAAAAACCTTAATTTATATACAAAAATGAATGGCCTAGATTGAAATCAATTGAATGGTTACTAAAATCCCACAACACTAATATTAGTATACAACATCATAGCTGTATCCTTGGACTTCACAACTTGTTATAATTATAAATTTTGATCAATTAAATTAATAAATAGAAATAATACTACTATTAATAAACTAAGAATCTTTCCTATCAACAAAAGATGGGCACTTTTTCAAATTAGGGTTCTTAGGATGGCATGACCAAGAAAGCACATAGCCTCCAGTTTGATCGATCCATGGCTTTTGTTATCACCACCAAATCTCATGGGCTTCAATTAAATGGTCATGACGAAATTTGAAGAGGATCTGCCCTTGGATTTGCAACTCCTCAAGAGCTCAAGCACCATCGCAAGATCAATGTGTTCCTGGATGCTAAATCCAAAGCAGCCAGTGTCGCTGTACCTGGGACCGCCTTGAGGAGCTGCATCGCCTTACGAAATGTGCCCAGAGCGGTAAAAAGAAGCTCTCAAGATCATTGACGCCTAGATTTTCTGATGGAAGACATTTGTCACACGCTGTGCTACGTGAGAAAATTTTGGAAAGCTTTTGTGATTGATCCGTTTTCCTTTACCCAAAGCATCAACTGGATTGACTAGTCATCCCCTTCTAATGGCATTTCCGTGCCTCTGTGCGACGCCTTCCCCCCCAAAACCATCATTCATATATATTAAAGGTGTGGCAGGACTCGCAATGCCCATCGCCTCTTCCTTGAAACTCTTTCTCGTGGAAGTTCATGCTTTTCGCATTACCGCGAATGGGGTTTTAGGAAGTTTGAAAGTTTTCTATAAATCCCATTCTTAAACGTGATACCGCTGCCTTGGCAAGTCAATAAGAAGACCAGAATTTATTTATTAACTAGTGAGTGATTGATATCATCGCTCATGGGCAGAACGTAATGGTGAAAGTTCCTCCGGTTCCAGTGGCAAAAGTCTTGGTGTTATCACCAGACCAGCTATAGGCATCCGGGCATCTGGCACGGACGTTCTGCGCGTACTGAGAGTTTGGATCGTCCCGGTTGGGACTGGCACAAGTATTCCCATTCCTGTTCTGGGGAGGACAAGTCGCTGCCTCCGCTCGGCAAATCAGACCTCTGCCAGATCCAGTGATGCTCATCCCAGTGCCGATGAAGAAGCCATCCACGGCGCTCACGTCATAGAAGTCATTGTTGCTGTTGCTGTTGATCGAGAACTCGGCCAGGAGGCCGGGAGTTCCAGTGCCGATGTTTCCCGCCCAGAGATTCGGAGGATTTAGTCCGCGAGATGCGCCGGGGGCGAGAGTGAATCCGGAGGTTCCGATCGAGGGGCCCCCGGCGTTCTCACGGACGATGATGTTCTGCGAGCTCCCGCAGCGATTGACAACGTTGAAGGAAGTGGCTGCTGCGAGTGGAATTGCTACAAAACAATGGCTTAAAGCAACAAGAGCAACGAGGATGGCAGTAGAGCTTGCCATTGGAACTGTGTATGCTATACCTCTCTAATAATATTTCAAGTTTCTACGCGGATTTATATAGTCCAGGGGAAAGAGGTTGTGGACCACACGCAACGTTGAACACCACCCGTGAGTTCGGTAAGTGCGAAATTTCCTTCGCGCCACAAGACGTTGAAAATCATGCTCATGAATTGAGTACACGTGGTTTGATGAATTTCAGTCAAGGATTTGCTGCTGAACTTTGTGAACTCCCATGCAACTCTCAGTTTCATTCGTTTTGCTTTGTCTATCCTATATTCTGTTTTGGCAGTCTTGTGGTGCCATGAAACTCTGCAATTAAGTTTGTACGCTTGTTGTGGGTGTTTTCCATCGCAATCGTATAAGTACTGTTTTAAATAAGTGTTTTAACAATTTAAGAAAAGAAAAACAGAACAAAAATGTATATTTTGTTTAATACTTAAATATGTTTCTTTGTTTAAAACCCACAGTGAGTTACATTGCTTCCAGAGTGTAGATAGCAGCCCGAAACATGGGGATGACAATGGTGGATCAAACCGCACAAACATCCCCTTCTTCCTCCCACCTCACAAGTCACAAACACCCCTTCAGAACACACGGGCCCAGGAGCTGCACAAACTGCTCGAAATGATAGGAAAGAAAGATTTTAGGAAACTCCCAAATCTTCTAGGCTTTGAAGGCTTTACCTCCCAGAGGCCTGTGCAACAAGCGGCGCGAACGAACTAGATTTGCACTCTCCAGACTTTCCTGAAGTTTGGAAACTTTTCAAATGAAACGAGACTAAAGTTTCAAGGCTTACATGAGCAACATCCTCCAATCCCTGAGCTGCCAGACCAGAAACAATCCACACTCGTTCAGCTCCGAAACAATAAACCGGGATACCTGTTAGCAGCAGCACGGACAGCAGCAGCGAGACAAGTGATGCAGTGAGAAGTTCACTTCCATTCCTCACCATCGGCGCTTTCGAGATGAGCCTTGAGGGAGAAAGAAAACAAGAGCGAGCAAAGACAGTGAGTCAAAGCGAGCAGGCAGAGGGATTTAAAACCCGGGGGGCCGATCAGTCAGAGCACAGCAGCAGCTGCTCTCTCTAAACTCTAGAATAGAATAAAATGAGAAAGAAAACAAAGCTTGTACCTCGAGACTTGAATGTGAGGCGCGTAAAACAATGCCAGTGTTCCACCGTTTGTCAGGTGTGCTGTGAGGCGCAATTTAATTCCCCTCTCGTCCCATCCTGCACCTACAACAGACGTTGATCGAGCAGGAGCTAGTACCTAGCAATATCCATCCTGCGAATAAAAAGTATAAAGCTAGCCAGTGTAAGGTGGTGAAAAATCTGTACACCAGTTCGCAATGCAGAGCAAGCAAAGACAGACTGGTAGAACCCCATAAAAAAACACGCAAAGGCTCAGAAGGATCCATTGGTATATCTTGATCACTGGAAGATCACAACAATCCCAGAGGGTCTTTCATCACAGCCTCTCAAAGAGCTAGACATGACAGTGGACGACCACAATGCTCAAGAGTTCTTACGAACGAGAACGAACAAGTTTCTACCTTAGACGAAGGCTCAAAAGGATCTGGTGAATTCCAACACGATCTATCATCACAGCCTATACTCGCAAAGAACCGTGAGAACAGCACAAACGTAGTCAAGATAAATGTAACTTAGTTACCTCGTAAAATCGGGGACGATTGCTGGAAACAGTATCGCTGCACGCTCGAAAATGTGCAGCCACTGTGTTACACCAGCTCTCTTTCTACAGTCTCGCAATCGAAGAGAGAAAAAAAAGAGAGAAAAAACCTGTCCATGGATCACGACGATAGCAGCTTCTGCAAGATCGCGTACGAGACCCAAGCGTCGACGCACGCGTAGTTCACTTGAGCATCGCTGAGGTGGAGGTTCTCCCAGTTGCTCATCGTCACTCTCTTGGGCTTGTCCATTCCAAGCCCAATCACAATGCTGGCCATCTTCTTGAGCCCCTGGTTTCTAAGCCGCTGGTTTCCAAGCTTCTCGGTGGCCAGGACGCCCAGCTCCACCGTGCCTTTGCACACCAGGCCATGGTCTCTCTCCAGCTTCTCCGCGTCGTTCTTCACACCAACACCGCCAAACATGGCCTTGGAGCTCGAGTTCTTGAGGAACTCCACCAGCGCGTCCGGGATCTGGTCGATGTAGCACATCTGGACGATGAGGCATTCCGTCTCTCCACAGATTTGGATGAGAGCCACCTTGTTCTCCTCCCCCATGACGCGATTCGGCTTCCACTCGAGATCCACCCCGAAGACACTCCCCTCCTGCCGCAAGACCCAGCTCTCAATCTCCGCCGCATCGCTCGTCACCACCACATCGATCTTCCGGCCGAAAACCATGACCGTCGTCCGCCGCGTCTTGGCGTGGACGAGCAGCTGCCTCTTGCAGACGTAATCCCATACCTTCCTGCGCTTGCTACTCGTGACAATCTCGATTTCGTCGCGCGGGGAGATCGCCCCATCGCCTCCTTGCGGCCTCTTCATCGCCGCCGCAAACCCTAAATCCCTCCCATTCTATAAACAGCATATATTCCGAGATGCTTTTAGGTCACAAATGAATATGCTGCAAAGATGCTGGATTCAAACATTTAAAAACACTTTTTGGCATTGGGGACACCGTGGCGAACATAGTGAGCTCTATGCCCAGCTCAAATTTCTCGGGGCGTTGCCCACGAAGATAATTCCCAGCCATCGAAGTTGATCGTCGAGCCCCACTACTTAAGCCAGTGATTGGAATTCGTTCCAGGGGATTTGGCAAAAGATCTCAAGAGCAGCGACCGAGCTCGCAGCTATGGCAGAGTTTCCACCCATCGAAAAGTGTAGCAGCACAATCAGCCGCGAGAGCGAATCGGTGGCCTCCGATCTGGATGGAACGCTGCTGCGCGGGAGGAGTTCCTTCCCATACTTTTTCCTCACCACTTTCGAGACGTCGGGGATCTTGCGCTCCTGGCTGCTCCTCCTCGTCTCGCCTCTCGTCTGGCTTCTCTATCACTTCATCTCCGAGGCCGCTGGAATCAAGCTCCTCATCTTCGCTTCCCTGGCGGGTGTTCCAGTCTCTCAGATCGAATGCATCGCCCGGAGTGTTCTTCCGCGGTTTTATCTCCAGGATCTCAACCCCGAGACGTGGAAGGTCTTCTCGTCCTTTGGGAAGAAGATTGTTGTCACAGCGAATCCCAGGATCTTGGTGGAGTCGCTCTGCAAGGAATTCCTAGGTGCTGACGAGGTGATTGGAACCGAGCTGGAGATGGATAGCCGAGGACGAGCAACCGGTTTCGTCAAGAGCCCCGGAGTTCTAGTTGGAGAGAACAAAGCCAAGGCCTTGCTCCAGGCCTGTGATCCCGAGCAGCTCCCAGACGTTGGACTTGGCGATCGGCAGACCGATTTCCCGTTCATGAAGCTTTGCAAGGTACGTAACAAAAGATCGTCCCTCCTTCCCGCGACTTAGCAATTCTCACGCTGGCTTCTCTCAATCCAGGAAGGATACGTCGTCCCCCCAAGCAACAACGTGGAGCCAGTTCCAAAGTCCCAGCTTCTGAAGCCCATCATCTTTCACGATGGTCGTCTCGTCCAGCTTCCGACGCCACTCGTGGCTCTCGTCACCCTCCTCTGGATCCCCGTCGGCTTCGTTCTAGCCTGCCTCCGAATCGCCGCAGGCTCGCTGCTTCCCATGTCAATCGTGTACCATGCCTTCTGGCTGCTGGGAGTCCGAGTGACCGTGAAAGGAACGCCACCTCCGAGAGCCACCAAGAACTCCCGAGGCGTCCTCTTCATCTGCTCGCACCGGACGCTGCTAGATCCAATCTTCCTGTCGTGTGCGCTGGGCCGAGGCGTCTCCGCCGTGACTTACTCGGTGTCCCGACTGTCCGAGATCCTCAGCCCGATCAAAACAGTGGCTCTCTCCAGGAACCGCGACAAGGACGCGGCTCAGATCCGGGAGCTCCTGAAAGAAGGCGACCTGGTAATCTGCCCCGAGGGAACGACGTGCCGGGAGCCATTCCTGCTGCGTTTCAGCGCACTGTTCGCGGAGCTGGCCGACGATATCGTCCCCGTCGCCATGGACAACCGGATGAGCATGTTCCACGGCACCGCTGCTCGTGCCTGGAAGGGGATGGACCCATTCTACTTCTTCATGAATCCCAGCCCCAGCTACGAGGTAACGTTCCTCCAGCAGCTCCCGGAAGAGCTCACTTGCAAGGGCGGCAAGAGCTCCCACGAAGTCGCAAACCATATCCAGCGAGCTCTGGCGGGAGTGCTGGATTTCGAGTGTACCAATCTGACGAGGAAGGACAAGTACAAGGCGCTCGTCGGCACGGACGGATCGGTGGAGTCCAAGAAGTCAACGTGAGCGAGTGTCGGCGGTGTGTGTTGACTAGAGTGGACTGTCCTGGTCAGCGGGAGTGGACTTGGGGGTGACTGAGTTGAATTAACTGGAGATTGAGAGCGATGGCGTCGCGGAAGTGATGCATTCATAAATTTTTTTTTGCGGGACTGCGACTCCCACAACTTTTAACAAATCAAATTGGATCTGCAAGAGCGTCGCTGTCAGTAGCCCGTGGAGAGAAAAGAAAAGAGAGAAGAAAAGATTAAACTTGCGACCTTTGCCACGACTTTCTGGATGATCGATCGGCCGCGCTCCCATTTCTCCTTCTCCCGAGGAGCTTGTCGAGTGCGTTGTCGTGTCGATCATCGCCGGCGAGCGTGAGAATGCAGCAGTGGAGGCGGAGGAGGAGCGTTCTGGGACGGCTTTGCAGTGGAATCCAGAGATGTGGGAGGCTGGCGAGGAGGAAGTGGGAGAGGCTTTACGAGAGGAGGAAGCTAAAGATGCAAAGGAGGAGGAGGTACGTGAAGCTGGGAAGAACAAGGACGAGAGTTTGGGGGCTCAAAGTGATGCGTCCTCGAGTGAAATGGATGGTCTTGCAGCTTAGAGAGCTGCGAGATGGCTACCTGAGATTTGTAGTGAGGTTCGCGGGGATTGTAGCAATGGGACATATGTCTGGCGCCATAGCTTTCAATCAGTGGAGCTTTCCAGTCATCTCCTCGTGTTAAATCAAATCCATTAGTTTCGTGATCTGGATGGAAAGGAAAGGAGACTGTGTTTCTAGATTTCTAGACTCACAGTGTTCTTCATCTATAGATTTGTAGTGGAAGGGAAAATCAAGAATCAAATGCTCTGGAAGAGTTGCGATTAGAGACCTTGTGATGGCCGATGCTGGCATTTCAAGGAATGCGAGCGCTTACCAGTCTAGATCCGCGACGAATCTAAGCGCGACATGGCGCCGGCGCAATGGAATCCTTGCTCGCGCGCGTTAGGGTTCTTCGCGGCGAAGAGGAAAGCTTTTAATATATTAAACAAAGAAATCCCTCTCTCCTGTTAGGGTTTTGGTTGCTCTTCTTGGAGCGGTGCTCACGGCGCAATCGATTCCCCGAGGTTTGTAGCTAGAGATCTCTCGCATCGCTCAGGGCTATGGTAGCCAACGCCAACTGGTCGCAGCCAGTCCGCAGTCCTAGCGCCACAGTCACAGTGCCTGGATCGAAATCTCCCTCGGCTCGAAAATCCACCGCTGCGACTTCCGAGAGCTCTCCTCGTCCTCCTCGTCCTCCTCTTCCTCCTGCGCAGCCGATGGATTCCTCAAACTCCGCGCCGCCTCCTTTCCTCAACAAGACTTACGACATGGTGGAGGACCCTTCCACCGATCCTATCGTCTCCTGGAACCCATCGGGGAATGGCTTCATTGTCTGGAATCTCAATGAGTTCCAACAACAGCTCCTCCCAAAGTTCTTCAAGCACAACAACTTCTCGAGCTTCGTCCGGCAGCTCAACACCTATGTAAGTTTGTCCAGGTTTGCTTGGTTGGATTGATAGAAGCTCCAATGCTTCCTCCAAATTTTTTTCTTTAAAAAATGCTAGAGTAAAGTTCTTCCGCTTCTACAGGAACTGCTTTAGATAGTGGCTAACGTGGAGTGTTTTGGTGGCAGGGATTTCGCAAAGTTGACCCCGACCGCTGGGAGTTTGGGAACGAAGGTTTTCTAAAAGGAAAGAAGCAGCTTCTCAAAGGCATTCACAGGAAGAAGTCGGCCTCTCATCAGCCACCCGCGGTCCAGCAACCGCAACCGCAGCCACAGCCGAGCTCGAAGCCGGCGTGCGTGGAAGTTGGCAAGTTCGGACTGGAAGGAGAGATTGAGCGGCTAAAACGCGACAAGAACGTCCTGATGTCGGAACTGGTGAGACTCCGACAGCAGCAGCAGCAGACGGACAGCGATCTCCAGATGATCTTGCAGCGACTTCACGTAACCGAGCAAAGGCAGCAGCAGATGATCTCGTTCCTGGCCAAGGCGATGCAAAGCCCGAGCTTTTTGGCGCATCTAGTCCAGCAGAACGAGAGTAAGAAGAGGCTAGCCGCGAGCGCGAGAAAGAAGCGAAGGCTTCCAAAGCAGCAGGACGGCAGCGAGCAGCAGAGCGATGGTGGCGATGTCGTCGACGAAACTCCATCTCCGGGGGAGGGACAGATCGTCAAGTACCAGCCAAACAACGATCCCATGGCGATGCTCATGCATTTCTTCAACTCTCCCGAGCATTCGCCATCGGCGTCAGCGGGATCCAAGAAGCTGGACATGGAGGTTTCCTTCCGGGACTTGGATTTGAATCCGGCACAGGACGGCAAAGGGCTGACGCTCACGGAGATGCATTCCGCCCAGATGATGGGAGATCTTTTGCTGTCGTCTCCTCCTCGGGTCGATAGCGGTGACATGCAAATCGCTCCAGCGTCCCCGCTGAGCTTGATGAGATTCGAGGCCTTGGCGGAGGAACAGCAACAGGGCGAGAGTGGCGATGGCAGTGGTGGCGGTGGCGAGGAACAGTCCAAGGAGGAGGATGGTGGCCTGGATTCTTCGGGAGTTCCCGAGTTTATGATGGACATCGAGTGGGATCAGTTCCTGGCGGACGTTGCGGGGGAGGGTGGCAGCGACAACATCGATTTTGTGGAGGGCGATGGATCAAATGCGAACCAGTGGTGGGACGAAAATGGTGACAAGGTGAGCGAGCTCGCAGAGCAGATAGGCCAGCTTACATCAACTACGTAGTTGGTTTTTATGTAGGAAATCTTTTCAGAATATAGGCAGGGGCTACTCCTTTAATTACATTTCAGTTACAATTTTTTACACAAAGCATAAATACTGATAATTTAGTACTAAGTTTTGATAATGGGACATTCAGATTTAGATTAATTTTGTATTTATAATTTCTAAGTATGTTTACCTTTCTTAAACAAAAAATTTCTTAACACCCATTAAGCAAACCATATTTTGCACTATTTTAATATTAATAATAATATATTTACTTCAAATTTAACTCATTCTTTATTTGTCTATATATTTGCTATAGACTTAAAATCTGTATGTTTTTGTGAATGCTTGGAATACAAAAATGTGCATATTAGATTGCTAATAATAATATACAACATCGTAGTTATACATTTAAAACTCATATTATCACCTCCTTTCAAAAAGATGAAAAGGCTTTTATATTCATGGACCAGAACCTAGAGAAATATCTAAAGGAGGTATCAATAGATCTATATGCAATAGAACTTATTTCTAATCTTTTTGTAAGAAGCATTTTATTTATTGCACATGTATAATTTGTTGAATGTCATTATAAACCTCATAAATTTGTAGCTCAACTAGTTGAAACACTTGATACTATCCCTTTCACTAAACAAGGAAATCATGTATTGCAAGATTAGGAAAATGAATTAATACCAAGTTATCCACTTTATATTTCACAAGTAAATAATTATGAGAATTGTAATGTTGTTGCTATCCCACTTGTATATGGCCTAAATGTTCAATAAATTCCACTTGAACCAATAGAAGAATATTTATGAGATATTAATCCCAAAACCTAGCATTAGCAGTTCATGAAAGTAAATTTAGCTCTATTGGTAATATAGAATTATAACCATATAAAAGTTTTTATGGTGAAGCACTAACAAAACATTATATCCTTGTGATATATGCATATTGAAGAGATGATAAATAACCATCTTAATTTAAATGTTTAAAGTTTATATACTTTATAATTATCTTCTTGAAAATACAAATGAGTTATTCCACTAAACCATCTGTTAGTGTATAACAAGCACTTGTGAAAGTGTAACTAAGACAAACTAAGACAAACTAAGACATCAAAATATGAAATACCTTAACTATAAATACAAAACTATTATCCAAAAGAAGCCACTCCAAATAAGATTGTTGGAACACCATTTGATTGAAAAGGAAATATCCAATAATAGTTATAAATGCACTAGCAAGAGACTCTTTTTTTAATCCAATCTAACAGTCAATTTCCACCTAACAAATAAAGTAATTCAAAGTAATAACAACATATTCACTTTCAATAATCAATTGTGAAAAAGACCCATTAAATCAAATGCCACCAACTCACATATTACAATTGACTTCAACCATCTTTTTGTAACACGAGGGGAAGTATTAAGAGTTGTTATACATATATCAAATGACACACACTGCATTTTTTGCCAATATAAAGATCTATATAATTTCTGAATTACATGATTTCCTATATATCCACATAGAATAAGAGAGTCATGGTAAATGTGGAGAAATCATGAAATAAAGATCAAATGCACCACTAGCCAAAAATGATTATCATAATTATTCTTCACAAAGTAAAAAAGGTCATCCTCAAGACAATATTGAAAATATAAATACTAAAATTGTAAGTCATTAATAAATGATATAAGATTTTCAAATGTATCGATCTACAGTTCAACCATTTGAGCCTCACAAAAGTCATCTAGAGAAAGTAAATCTAACTCTACACATTGTGAAAAATGCATATCAAACACAATGACTATTAATGACACAAAGAGTTTAGTAAGGGAATATTGAATAAATTAATGCTGAATGAACCTCTTAATAGTACTCTCAAATGAAAGATGGAGGGGTCACCAATTTATTCACACAATAACCCTCTACTATTTGTGTTATTCCTTATTTCCTAGAAAAATTTATTTGTCAAGACTTTCTACTACAATAACACTAATAAAATGTTATTGATGTCAAAGTTTCCACTCAAAAGATAGATACGAAATTGAAAACACTAAAAACATAAATATATTTGGCCAATTTTATCACACGATTAGTACTAAACATCATGCCCACGTCTATATCGTTATCTTTGTCTTTCAATACTTGCAGCAACAATGTCAGAATCCATTGAAACATGATCGTCTCCTACAAAATTAGGGTTAAATGTGCAATTACAAATGGAAGAAATGATGTCTTATAGCATTATGCCATTTGAAGAGTGTTATCCAGAGTGGTTAAGACAAGTGTATATAGAAGTTCTATAAAATTTTAATAGTGTTGGCAATAATATGCTTATTTTGATCTGTTTTGATATATTCAGCTCCATATAAAATAAGAGGCTTTAGAAGCAAACACTAGGATTGCATAACTAACTCAAGTAGCTCTAATGTAAATATTATTAAAGTCGTTAATATATCCAAACTTGAAGACATCTAAGAATTCACATAAATAGTATACTCAAACCATTGTGCCATTGTATCCCTTGAAAATGTGTGGGAAACCTGTATAGATATTAAGTATCATCCCAATTGATAGGGATTAAACCAAAAGTAAATATCATCCTTAAGATTATCACAAAAGAAATCTGGCTAGATATAAAGATTGGTAGCAAGAGGAATAATTTCACCACACACCATGAATGTTGTTATGAATTGAGTTTGATTATTCAACTATGACTACATAATATCATATAACTACACCAATTATTACTCTAGAGTGAGGAGGAGGAGAAAGCTATTGCAAAAGAGGAGTATGTTACTTTACCATAAAAATGAATGAAAAGAAGAGGAAAAATAAAAGAAAAAAAAAAAAATCTATAGGAACAAAAGAGTTTTAGATGTTGCAAAAGTTATATCTAAACAATCAAAGCTACCAATCACCTATGAAATACAAAAATAATTAAAACCCTAAAATTAATAGTTAGACTTTAAAATATTCAAACATATTTTAGAATATTCCTTAATTTATTCTCCTTTTCTGGTAATCAAAGTTTATTAATATTATCATTCATGAGCAAATTTCAAAATCGGCGCTGGAACAGCTCATCAAAAGCAAACCTATGAATGTCATCATCTATATAGGCAGCAAAGCCTATAAATCAGCTGCAAGAAATGTATCAACTTTGTGCAATTGTTTGAAGGAATGTCTGCAATCCAAAAAGTCGGCTACTCCATTTAATCAGAATGATTGTGACAATTCTGATGATTCAGAATCGAATGGTTACTTGGGATGGTGGACCAATAAGTTTTGTATCGGTTGGTTCTTAGACTTACGTTTTCGCTATGATCCCCACACTCCACGAGCAGAGCTCTTGGATCCTGTCCTGGAGCTCAGCTCCCACAGTATCCTCGCAAACATGTCCGAAGTACGGGCATCCGTCAGAGCAAGCTCCGCAAAAGTGTGCTCGTAAGCTAGAAGTATAGACCTGTTCTCTGGTTCTGACGCAAGGCTCTCAAGCGTCAGGGCTGCTTTTCTCACCACTTCTTGCAGGGGATGAGGCGTCTGGACGATCCTTAAGAGCCTCCCAACGGCCCTGCGAAAAGAGCCAAGCTTGAAAAGCTTTCGTGTGAACGAAGAAATGCTACTCACCATCGCTCGTTTGCCAGCCGAAGACGGCAGTCCATATTCACCTCCGCGAAGTTATACAATGCTGCTATGGCTGCTGCCTGAGAATCGCTCGCTGGAAAGTTGAGTATGTCCACCAAGCGCTTGTAGATCTGTCCGTGCACATAACGCTCAGGCAGAGTTTATCACGAAAGTCTCTACCTGAGTTGCAAATGGAAGAAGATATGGCTCGTTCTCGGGGTTTACTACGAGCCTTCCCAGTAGCTCTGCAGCCGAGCAATGCCAGGGCTTGATTGGTGATTCCAGCATTGTCACAATCGCTTGTACAGCAGCTTGTTCCCTGCTCCAAGCAAGACGATGGGAAGTTAGCTTCTCTAACTCTAGACATAAAACACAGTTTACCTACGTGATCCGGCCTTTGGACGGGTCAGTAAATATTCTCAGCACCACAAACGTTGCCAAGTTAAGAATCGTTTCCACTGCGTTAGTGACCAGCTCCTCGTCCTCTGTATGTAGTTAGTACTTTCTCCCGTCAAAGAAAGCAAGAACTTGGACATTGTACCAGTATTGTGATCTTGCATGCAGCAAACAAGAGTTTCCAGACAGTGCCGGTGTTGAGCCATGTGGATTTCATTCTCGGGAATGAATGAGAAATTCCGTAGAACATTTGAGGCTGCGACAGCGCACTGCTGCCGCTCAGCTCGTCCGATTTCATCCAGGTTGAACAGTCCCTCTTCGTCCCACCACCAATCTGCATTCTTCTTCTCATCTGTGACGCTCTCTGGATTTCTCTCCGGCATGGTGCTAGGAAATTTAAACAAGAAAAGAAAAGAAAGTGAGCGCGCATAAGAAAGACAGAGCCTTACATACCGCATTCTATAGAGCGGATCGTGATGCGTGTTAATCTCATACTCGAGGCCAAATCCAGTGGTCGGACGATGAAGTCCAAGCGTGCGCTTTCTCGCTGATTTTTTCGAGTCACTGGAGTAGGATATATCCCTCCACTCATCTATCTGCGAAGTCCAGTTCCTTAGCAGAGCCACAAAATCACGAAAGCACAAACTAAATCAAATACCACATGAAGGAGAGCATCGAGTAGGCCAGGAATTTTCACCAGAGCGTCCTTCCTTCCATCGTCCTTCTCCTTGAAAGATAAAACATTGAGCGAGGTCAGTGCCCACGAGAGCTCGCTCTTGAGGCCACTCTGGAGAGCCATGACAATCCTCTTACTGTTCTTCTCTGTGAAGAAAAAATACGATCAACACCTCTTGCTGCTAGAACTCTATCCTTACCGGCGAATGTGAGCTGCACTTGGACGGTCGGGCCCGTCAAGACTGGGGTTCCAATGGCACCGCTTCCAGCGGCGGTAGAAGCTCCGCTAGCGGCAGCTCCGCCAGATCCAGCAGAGGCAGCAGCCGCATTGCCTGTGCCCAGCTCCGAGTAGTTTGGATTTCCTCGTGCGCGCTTGCCAAGAACCACGCCATTGCCCGCGCCCACGCTCGCTCCCGCCATAGCTAGGGCTTTCACTGCAATGCCCTAATTTTTAAGAAATATTATAGAGTCTAAATAATTACTTTTACTGTTAAGCATTGTAATCATTTATATTTTGTTTTATTCATCTTTTAATCCTATTTTCTATTATGATTTTCCTCTAAACCTCAAAAAATTAGTCAAGAACAAGGAGCTTGACATGGTCAGGCAACCAAGATGGATCGAAACACATGCCTGGAGATGGTTAAGTCATGCAAGAGTCTGTCTAGGGCGAGAGAGATTCACGTCCAAATTATTCCACTCGTTGCTCCCGATGACGTTTTTATGCATAACATGCTAATCCAGATGTATGGCAAGTGTGGTGCTCCTGATGAAGCTCGCCAAGTTTTTAATGCCATCACTTCTAGAAACACATTCTCATGGGCTTTGATGCTCGCTGCTTACTCCAAAAGCAGCAAAATGGAGCATGCCAAGCAGCTGTTTGATGAGATCCCACACCGCAACCTGGTGTCGTGGACAACGCTGTTGAGCGCTTATGCCCATCAAGGGGATCTTGAGCAAGCTAAAGACTTATTTGAGAGAATGCCGGAAAGGGATCTCGTTTCTTGGAACACAATGTTAAATGCCTATGGATCAAGCAGAAACATTGAAGCAGCAAAGACAATTTTTTCTCATATGCAAGAAAAAGATCTTGTGTCGTGGACGGCGATGCTTACTGCAAATGCCGCCGTTGGTCTTTTCGAAGAAGCTGAGCAAGTGTTTAAGAAAATGCCTGAATGGGATTTTATATCGTGTACGTGCATGCTTGTTGGGTTTTCTCAGAGCGGAAAAGTTGGTGATGCAAAAGATCTATTTGATCAAATGCCCGAGAGGGATATTGTGTGCTGGACCGCAATGTTATGTGCATATACCCAAAACGGGCATAGCTCTCAGGCAAAACAAATTTACGACTCCATGCCTGAAAGGAACCTTGTGTCGTGGAATGCAATGCTAGGCCTGTACAGAGATCTGGGAGAGGTGGAGAAGGTGGAGTTTGTATTTTCGGAGATGAAAGAGAGAGATCTAGTTTCGTGGACTTGTATGGTTTCTGTTTATGCTCAAAGCGGGCATCTAGCTCTTGCCAAGGGAGCTTTTGACAAGCTGAAAGAGAGAAACCTGGTGGTGCTTACGATCATGCTGGCTGCATTTGCAGAGAATGGTGATATCGAGCAAGCAAAGCAAATGTTTGAATCCATGCCGGAGCACAATCTCGTGTCTTCTACTGCGATGATCGCTGGCTTTGCTTTGCAAGGAGAAGTTGACAATGCAAAGGGAGTTTTCGATGGCATGCAAGAGACCAACATTGTTTCATGGACGTCGATGCTCTCAGCGTATGCCCAGAGCGGATTGATGAACAAAACCAAGAGGATGTTTGATCGGATGCCCGAGCACAACCTTGTGTCTTTGACTGTGATGCTCGGATCTTATGCTCACAACGGGCACCTCGAGGAGGCCCGGAGGATCTTTGACGACATCAAAGTACACGAGAGAGATATCGTGCTTTCAAATGCGATGCTAGCCGGGTATGCATACAACGGGTATGTGGAGGAGGCCAAAGTGATCTACGACACCATCGAGACGAAAAACAGTGTCTCTTTCAGCGCGATTGTGGCGGCTTACTCGCTAAACGGGCATCTGGAGGCAGCAAAGATGATCTTCGATGGCTTGGAAGGACGAGACGCAATGGTGTGGACTTCGATCCTTTCGGCATACGCTCATGCCGGCCATCTCGCAGAAGCGAGACGCATTTTTAATGGGATGCTCGAACACGACTCGGTCTCGTGGAATGCAATTCTCGTGGCTTATGCTCAAAACGGACAGTCGACCGAAGCGCTGGAGCTCTTCCAAAACATGCACAGCTCGGCTTGCAAACCGGACGAAGTGTCTTTCATTTGCATCTTGGTTGCTTGCAGCCGGCTCGGGGAAGTTCACGCGAGCTGGTCGTGCTTTGTGTCGATGAGCATCGATTTTGGGATCCGAGCAAAGAAGCTCCACTTCTGCTGCATGGTGGATGTTCTTGGGAGGGGAGGATACTTGGGCGATGCCCAAGACCTCGTTGCAAGCATGCCGTTTGTTCCTGACGTTTGGGACTGGAGATCGCTGCTGGGGGCATGTAGGCTGCACCGAGAGGATCACACCGCTGTCGGTTTTAATGCCACGAGGGGAATTCTCGCGTTAGATTCGAGAAACGCGCCAGCTTATGTTCTTCTTGCCAGCATCTACTTCAACAACAACAACAATAGTGACAAGAACAAAGAGGTCTCTGTCAACAAGGATTGAGAATTATACGAAAAACCTGTGAATATTACGTAAAACTATACACATTACTATTGTGGCATATTGGATACAAGGTGTGCTAGATTGAAAGGATAGATGGAGTTTGGGGATCCAAAGATGACTTCGTTGGCCACAAGCTTATAGAGAGCTTGAGTTGGATGAACCATATCCCAAAAGGCATATAAATCTGGATCTTCACATACGGAAGATATGAACCAGTTGCAAGGTCCAAGGGCATTGTAATGGCCACCATTTCCACAACAAGCTCTACTGGCATGCCTTAGTCCTGCGATGAAAAGCAAAGAACAATTATCAACACAAGCTTAAAGAACTTACCATGAGTGCTTGGATTCTCCAAGATCCTTTGTACAATAGTGTAGCTCTTAAGGTGTAGAAAATCGCAGTCCTTGAGCACTGCTCTGAGCTTGGAAAAGAAAACACTTGTCTTTGAGTTGAAGCTCCGAATTTTCTCGTTAACACTTGCAACACATCTTCCTTTGCATGCTCCGTGCAGTATGAGCTCCACAGGAGTGCATCCCAGAGGTGGAATATCAGCGATGATAAACTTTTGAGCTCCATAAGCATGAAGAGTCTAGACATTATGTAGAAGGTTGCTTGTAGCAAACTATTGTTATGCTATCATTCTCACCTGGATCGAACGAGACATCTGGTTTATAAGCAGCGACTCGAATTGTGTGAGGTTGTAAAACATCTGCCTGAATGGATTTAACTGATAATTGGCTGCCAAGTCATTCCCAGCAAAGCTAATTATAAAAATCGACCGAGAAAGCAGATCCAGCGTAGAGGATTTGCCAGCCAGAGACTCCAGAACCTTCACCACCTTCTGAAACTCTTTGATTTGCTTTGTGAATGATCTCACTCCCTTTGGAAAGAAAATAAAAACCTTAGAAAGACCTTCGATCACGAATGAATGATTATCAATGTTACTCGCGAGAAGCCAGTGCTGTCAAGTAGTCCAGCCCCTGCTGCTGCAAAGTTGACACCCTTCAAGAAATCCCAAGGCGAAACACCGGGATCTAAGAAGTTGACAGGGTACGGAAGATCAAGAAACTCGGCTGATAGAGAAAGAAAGTGGGAAAATCCATGATCTCAAAACTTATGCAAGTCCCACCTATGTAATCACTCACGAGTTTGCCATTGGAAAACCTCCCTGTAGCACCTGGTGGATCGAAATTCATACCATAAGGCAGAGAATTGGCCTTGATCAAAGTTGAGATGAAATTGTTATTCCCCGTGTCGACGCTCGAGTCTCCAAACACAAAAAATGCTGGAGCAGCAGCTGCCAGTGCCACAATGCATGGATTTCTCACCAAAACAATCAGCAGTAGCGTCGCTAGAGCCATCCACAAAAGCCCCAAAGAATACACTCAAAGACTGGATACGAATATCCCCAAACGCCTCTCTTTATTTCAATAACGCGGATCCGGGAAGAATATGCTATTATCAGGGTTAGGGTTTATCAATGGAGGTGAGCGCCAATGCGTGTCCAAATGCGAGCGATTTGCAGGTGGAGGAGCTCGCGTCTCTCGTCAGGAACAATCTCCACACCAAGCATCTGCTGCTGGCGGCGGAGGAAGCGTTTGTGGAGTTTTTGGATCCATCCAGGCAAGCGAGGGATTTTTTGTGTTTTCTGGTGGATTCATCTGTGATTTTCCAGTGATAGGGAGTTGCTGGAGCTTACGCCGATGGTTTCTTATCACCGGATGCTTCTCCATCGCTTGGCGGACGTCTATGGGTGAGAATCTTTGCTCTAAAACTTGAAAGAATTCACGTATAAAAGCTTTTCTTCTTCGTTTTTGCAGCCTAGCGCACGAGTCTGTGGGTGAGGGAGATGGCAGGCATTTGGTGGTCGCAAAATGCGAGGACTCGTCCATGTAAGCAATACTTCTCTATCGTATTTTCTTTCTTTTGGTAACGAATCAAAGACATGTCTAGACCGTCCGTGTTGCTAAGCGACCTACTCAACGCTTTCGAAGATTCATGCTCGATAGCCAGCAGCTCGTCTCGAACACTACTTAAACGTTCTGCTATGCAAGCATCTGGTATGGTTTGGATAGATCTTGGATCAGGCTTTGAGTAAGTTTTATGTTTCAGAGAAACAATTCACTTCTAACGAGAATCCGGTCGTGACGTCTCTGGAGGAGAGAGAGGCGGCATATCTCTCGGCAAGAGAACGCATCTTCTCGTCCTGCGAGACCAGCACCAGCACTGTTGCCTCGGACGAAGCAGGCGACTCAAGCGTAAGATCCCCAAGGACTGTTCCTGCGGTAGCGCACAGAATGATCACTCACGCACTGGGTAAGAGCAGCGCTCAAAGGCGTCCTGAACAACACACTAGCTGCTCGCCTGAAAAACCTCCCGACCAAGACGGCAGCACTGGTGAGACGTGTTCCAGAACAAGGAATGCTCGTCGGCCGGACATGCCTGGTAGAGCAGCGAGCAGGCTTCTGTCCAAAGCTCTCGGGATCCAAGAAGGGAAAAAGAGATGAAGCAATCGACTTCACTTCCAGGTAATTGTCCCCGAGTTGCTATTCAAAGCCGTGACGGTGGTCTTCACAGGCCAATGCTGTTTCGCGACTGGGAAGACGCAGTTTTCCTGGCGGTACAAGCTATAGTGTCTGGGATCCCGCAAAGGTATAGATTTTCCCTTTTCTCGGCTAAACGTTGTTGGTATTTTCTCAGCGGCATTGTCCACGGGTTCGTGGAGAGCAACAAAGAAAAAGAGTGATGGTTAGCTTCGAAACCTTGGACGTTCCCTCCATCGTATCTTCCTTCAAAGTCGAAGATATTTTGTCGAGAGATATTCTCGCAGGAGGTATTGTTTTTATTTCTCCTTCTCCTCCTTTTCTTTTGTGTATTCTTGTGCCTTTCCAGTATCAGTTATATCGAATCCAAATCTCACGAGTTCGGACTATTGAGATACGATATCTTTTAGGTGGTTCACGGGCACTAGAAACGATAAGCTTCAATCTTTTATTCTAAAGTTCTAGCTCAAATCAGGACAAGCACAAAATTTCGTTGCTCGTGCTTTGAACGATTCTCGCAGGAGCTCCTGATAGTGAGATGCCAGAACAAAGACTCCAGAGGGTGTTAGAATAAAATCTTTTAATCTCCCATTTTGTAAACCCATTTTGTAGTGTGATGTTCGAGCTAGAATTTAGGGTTGGTTCCCAAGGAGATGGCAACCATAGAGAGGTGCCAGGTGAGGTTCCGTGACGTAGAGTTTTTCTCCCCTCTAGCAGAAGACGAGTACGAGCAAATGGTGTGCGAAATGAAGGACCTCATAGCCGATGTTCGCCACGTTCACTGGCTCAACGCCTACATCCCCGAGTGCATCAATGGAACCACGCAGCTCTCGGTGTGGAGGCTGGCCAGGGAGCTGCTGCTCCTCCTGGGCTACGAGGAGCTGCCAGGAATGCACATCCTCGCCAACCGATACGTGACGCAGGACACTGTCATTCCGGACTGGTTCGTCGAGCAGGGAGTCGAGTACGAGTTTGGTCCCGAGGGAGACGACGCTGGAAGCATCGCCAAGCACAGGGACGTGTACCTCATGCGCGGGCTCATACCCGAGATCAGGATGATAGTTCATCCCGACCGGCTGGAGAGAAAGGAATTTGCAGAAGCCCGGCTTGTGGAGAAGGTCATCCAAGCGTTTACAGAGAACCAGGAACGAGCGCGGCGGCGGGGCGAGGAACTCAAGAAGCAAGTGTTTCTGGGGCTGCTCGTGCTGGACACGAGCCCGGTTTTCTACAGGATTCCAGTCACCCGGCACCTGGCTGCTTGTATGCAGAAGATTACGCGGCGGATGGAAGTGGAAACTGTGGTAGAGAGGTTTGATCCTGGATTTCCACGCGATGCAATGGGGGACCCGATTTACAGGGAGAAGATTGCGCATTATCTGCTGGGCTTCAAGAGATTGCTCGAGTCCAACGAGGTCGAAATAGTGCATGCATGAGAATTATATACTCGACTTTAAACTGAAGTGTCGTTTCTAGGATCGTTTCAAAGAGTGGTTTTCAACGTATTCACCGAGTGTTTCTAGAGAACGCCTGAGAATTATATACCTGACTTTAAACTGAAGTGTCGTTTCTAGGATCGTTTCAAAGAGTAAAATCGCGTTTTGTCTTGTGGTTTTCAACGTATTCACCGAGTGTTTCTAGAGAACGCCTGAGGAAACTATTTATCCGCGAAAGAAAGTTGCAACAGAAGGATTTCTTCTGTAAACAGGAGGATGATCACTCACTCATGCTCAAGGTACGCTTGCTCGTTCTTTGTTTGATTCTCTGGCAAAAGCTCCCGACCAATGCAGCAAGCAGCACTAGCGAGACAAACCTCTACAAGGCCTCTGCCCAAAAGCAGTAAAGCACTCTGGAAGAGATCCAGAGTGAAACTTCAAGCAACCTTGTGCTTCAATTACGTGCTTCGAACTTACGCTGGATGTGTTAGCAAAACCCTGGAAAATTTAAACCAGCAGTTACCAGAGATGGTCAACGTCCACACACTCCAACGGCTCCTTTTTTCACCAGATCCGAAACTTTACCTGGGCATTTTTAACTCTGGGCTCAACGGAAAGGCGAGCTCGTAAAGTGGCAAATCATCGCTGCTCTTACATCATCGCGCTTCTCTCGTTACGCGCTTGTGGGTAGCGACGCTTTGGCTTACACGATTGATTGATGCAAAGGTGTTCTTCTGGTAACTCAAAGGCGCAGAGCACATGTAGAAGATAGCATTGTAAACTGACGATCCTCTGCGTGGAAGAAAAAGTGGACTAGCTGGGCTGTTATTCGATCTCTTTTTCTTTTCGAATCTCTTCCCATTATCTGCTTCGACTAAAGCTCTTGTGTTTTTTGTGTGTTTTTGTGCGATGGATTCAGCGAGTTTGTGGAGGCTCATCGTCTTGCTGCTCGCAGCAGTGGATGTTGCTCGTTGCAGATTCCATGCGTATGCACGAGGCTGGCAATTGGCAACCGCGACTTGGTATGGAAGTCCCAGCGGTGCTGGAACTGATGGTATGCGAGGAAATCTCTCTCCAATCCTTCTTCTTCTCTTTCTTGCAGTGATCAATGTCCTTTCTCTCTTGCATTTCCAGGAGGAGCTTGTGGCTATGGTGAACTCCCGAACACTCCCTACGGCCTCGATGTTGGTGCTGGGAGCCCCGTCCTGTTCAAGAATGGCAGAGGCTGTGGTGCATGCTACAAGGTATGAGAGATTTGGATCTCCTTCTCAAGCTCTTCCAAAAGAATTCATGTTCTTCTTTTTCGGCTTGGATTGCACAGGTGAGGTGCTTGCAGCAGCAGCTCTGCTCCGGCAAAGCCGTGACGGTGGTGATCACAGACGAGTGTCCCGGTGGCTACTGCGCGTTTGGGAGGACGCATTTCGACCTCAGTGGCACGGCATTTGGAAGAATGGCGATGGCCGGAAGAACAAACCAGCTGTTGGGATCAGGAGTTACGCAAGTCCTCTACAAGAGGTAATAGTTAAAAGGAGTTCATGGCCAACTTCTCCTCACCTTTAACACATTTTGCAGGGTTGATTGTAACTATGGCTCCAGGCCCATGGAATTCCAAGTCAACGAAGGATCCACACCATTTTGGTTGTCCATTCTCGTTCGCTACGCAGCGGGGCCTGGAGATTTGGGTCATGTCGAGCTCATGCAGGTAGATAAACATGCCTTTCTTCACTTCTTTTTCTTTTTCTCTCTCTCTTAGCTTACACTGACGAAACGAATTGTTTGTGCTCTCTCTCTCTCTCTCCACACACACACACACACACACAACAGGCTGGGTCTCGAGTTTGGCAGCCAATGACTCAGGTGTGGGGCGCAACATGGTGTTTCAATGGCGGTCCTCTGAGGGGCCCTTTCTCGTTTCGAGTCACGACTCTGTCAACCTCGGAAACAGTCGTGGCTCGAAACGTGATTCCAAGAAACTGGGCTTCCAACACTTGCTATCGCTCCAGGGTCAACTTTAGATGATCTTCTTGGAATCGATCATAACGTATAGATTTTTACACACCTTGTCCCACCATGAGGAACTTCCAAGCCGAGGTTTCCAAAGAGTGGGATGAGATTAAATACAAATCATCCATCTTTGTCTGGTGGAAACTAAAAGAAAGATTTTGTGATGATCTCACATAAAAGAAAAAGAACTTGTTCAAGGACGAATTAGATCTGCGAACAGATCAATTCAGCGACTGGAAAGAAAACTCTATCCATTCCATCAGCTCTGCTGTTCGCTAATCATCTCACCAACATGCGTGTCAACAATTCAATCTCTCGCATGGAAACCACATCATGCCAGCCACAAAAAATCATTTTACAAAAGGCTGACGACAACGTACATCCAAAGCAAAGTCAGGACGGAAGCATCTATCAAGCTACTCGGTGTCCAAAGCAGCAACGAGAAAAGAAAGAAAGAAAGAAAGAAAGAAAAGAAGGAAGGACAAAGAGAGCCAACCTTGGAGAAGAGCAGCTATGGCGGGCTGGCTGGCTGGCTGGCTGGCTGGCCGGACACGATCCTTAGCTGGTGGGCTTTTGTTGTGGCTTGCTAGTTGCAAGCTCCAGAAGATAGGAGATGCCCTGCGTCCAGATCTTGTGCTCGTAGTCACTCCGACACTCGAATTCCTCGAGCTCTGCCGTGTTCGTCTTGACTCCAAAGTATCGCCGCTGTTCTCCGTTTTCCAGGAGTGATCGCCCAGGCCAGGCTGGGATCTCTGTGTAGACGTCCACAACCACACCTATGAGGCCAAGGACAGAGGGAATTTTTATGAGTTCTATCCATCCATCAGAGCGGCAGAAGGAACAAGAGGAAGAAATCAAGCTCACGCTGTTTTTACTTACTTTTCTTGTTCTTCTTTAGAGCGCCCCCTACGTGCTTGCTCTGGAGTTTCAGAATAACCTGCCACATTTGTCCCACGGAATGCTTTGCTTGCCTGTTCTCTCGCGGGAGCGATAATAAAATACCAACGTACCTGGTTGTGTTTGTTAATGTAGGCACAGACCGATCTCCAATGAATCTCGCCTGCGCAAAAGGCGCACACACAGGGCTTAGCGCTCTGTCCCAAAGCAGAAGATATCTCCACTCCATGGAGAAAGAGTAAAGCATACTCACCGCTCTTTGACCGCTTGAGAAAGTCCGTTCCTTTGGCCAGCACTTCCTGTGTGAAGGACTCGGCCTCGCTGTCCTCGGATCCAAGCTCTCCACTGAAGTTCATCGAGCCTCGCTCGTACGGGATGACCGACGAGCGGCTGTGCTGCTGTTGCTGTTGCTGCTGCTGGTTCTCTTTCAAGGCCCTGGCCTTGAGCATCGCCGCTCCCCGTAGAGCTGTCGGCACAAAACACCAACAAAGTTGATCAGTTAAGCAAGGATTCGGCCACCTACAATAAGCACGCGTGAGCGAGCACTTTCGGAACTTGACTTACATGTCGCAGCACCAGCAGTGAGCGTCATAATGTCCCCAGCCGTTTTGACACGAACCGCGGAGCCAACGGCCGACGCAACCTGCTCGTGATCGGCTCCCAAGCTCTCGGCGACCTCCACACACTGAGATGCTACGAGCGATGCAGCGGAAGCCATGGCCATGCTCGTCTTTGCTCCACCATCGTCGATGGCCGTGGCTGCCGTGGCAGCAGCCACGGCAGCTATCGCAGCGGCAACGCTCGCGACTTGGATGGCTGCGTGAACCTGTGCGTTTTGGGCACGAATTGCCTCCTTCTTCTTGTCCTTGACGTCTCGGAACCATCTCCTTACGGACTTTCCGTTTCTGATGGGCGACTTGGGAGCTGTAATAGTCGTGGAAGAATGATGCTGCACAACGAAAAATTGGCCTTGAGCGAAGAAAAAGACCAGTGTACTACCTGCTCTTCTGGAACTTGAGGTGACAGAGGCGAGCCCATTCCAAGTGGTCCACTATGGTTCTTCATTAAAAGCCCACTTCTCTGGGAATTCCTCTTCTGGATGCCGAGCTCCTGCAAGAAAGGAAGAATGTAGCTAGGCACTGTCAGGAACAAAGGACCAATAAACTCCAAACTACCTTAAGAGGCTTACCACTGGTGCGAGAATTCTATTGAGAACCATGTCGGAGGTCATTGCCGAGGCGAACGAGAAGGGTGTCGTCTCGATCCCCGTCTCCTCGGCTCGTTTCGCGGTAGCAAACTTGTTGGCGGCGGGATTGTAGGGAGCCAGTGCCTTGGAGACGTCCACGGCCGAGATGCTCCACGATCTGGACAGGAACTCCATGGGTTCCAATGGCGTCTCTGGAGGTGGGTAGGACGTCGTGGGCGATGGGAAGTACATGGGGAAATCCTCTTCAATGTTCTCCAGGTGCTGGGATAAGCTGCTGTTCTGGCTGTCGAATCCGGAGGAGGCGCTGTGCTCGAGCATGTAGAGATGATCCTGCTGCTGGCCGTCGAAGTTGAATCCGACGTGACTGATACCGTTGATAGTCGTCTTCATGATCTCGGACGGCCGATTCATATGGATTCCCTCGTCACAACAAGATGATCATGATCGTCTCCTCTTCACCGAGTGAAACCTCGATTCTCTCAACTCTGCGACCGTAATATGTTAGCGATGAGCAAGAGCACGCAAGAACAGGGACAATCGGCACTATACCTCGAAAGATTTGGCTGGATCGATCCGAAATATCGATGTCGAGCCGGCCTAGCATCGATCTCCCTGGACTGCGCTCATCCTATCGGAATGGAGCGGCGGCAACGCAATTCCGGGCAACAGTCGACACGAATTCCACACGCGAATCTTTTCCGCTAGCGAACAAAATAACGCACAGACTGCCCGAGATCGCGAGCGCTCCCCAGCTGAATCCGGCCAAGCCCCGCCGCAAAAGCCTCACATCAAGACACAGATTTCCTGCGCGGAGAACATCGAAAACCTGTGCAAGAAGAAGGTGAGGAATGGCGACAGATCGCACGCATCGGCCTCGCCTTTGCCCTATCACACGCGCCAATGCCGATCGAGCGAGCGAGCGCCTGCAAAAATCTTGATCACAGGAAAACGAAAGATTGAAAAATAAGAACCCTCGCCAATAGGAGAACATTAAGCATTGAGTGGGCTTCTTCCATACCGGAATGGGAACGTCTGGCCATTCCGGGGCGGAAGGGCGGCAGGATCCGCAATGAAGACCCCGGAATGACGTGGCGATGGACGGCTGTCAGTCAGTTGACATAATAGTCAAGGCGTTTTCAAAGACAGGCAAGGCGTTCCCTCACTTTAAAAATTTCTTTCTTTGCACTGGCAAAAGCAATGCGCATTCTTTTTTTCCCTTTCGCGCGTTCCGGATTCCAAGAGCGCTGGCCTCCACGGAATCGAACAGGCGACCTTTGGTTTCTACGCTTCCTGGGAATCGAGCCGCGGACCGCTCAGTTTGTTTGTTTCTAGACGCGAGAAAAAGCACAACGGCACATGCTTTGGGCTTGTATTGAAATCCAAGGCATCATTCTCAAGCTCTAATTCATTGTCTCTTTTGAGGTAAGCATCACATGTGGAGGGAAAATATAAACCATTGGATCACACAAGCCCTAGAAATGTGGCGGGAGCCCTCGCCTTTTGAATATCAACCGTTGATCTAAAAGCTGGCAGCCGTCGATCTTGCCTTGGCGATTTTAAACAAGGCCCAGAACTTGTGGCGCGGAGGCGCTTGCTGAGGTGTGCGGTGTTGGTTGGCCGGTGGGCAGCGAATATGCTCCCAGCGCTGTGGGCGATATGCCCGAATTTGTCTTTTTTCTTTGAAAAAGAATAGAGGAGATCGATGTACGATTGGTGGAAAAATTCCTTGTTTGTAGCCCCGTCATGAGTAGAATAGAGCAGCAAAGGATTTTAGATTTGGCAAAGAAAATTGGTATCGATGTTGTCAATGTTGCTGGAAGAACTGACACTGACCCCTTCGGGCAACAGTAAGAGCCGCGAGAACTCGTCCGGGAGGGAAACATGGGTGGATAGATGGATACAACCAAACAAAAAAGATGATAGTATGATGGGATAGGATCACACACACATTGTATATAGGCGAGGAATAGGTTTCTCTTTTCTCTAGCAGAGATTTGTCCCAACTTACTTGGAATGTTCAGCGTTGTTTCTTTTCCCTCTTACTGTTTCTTTCGGCCTTGACCTACATGTTGACCACGTTGACTATAGAATTTCTTTGTTGACTTTTGTTGACTCCCAACTAGATGCGAATATCTCATTGTTTCAACTGCTAGATATCCCATTGTTTCAAAGCGATTCATGGTGAGGAAACGGATCAATGTTGAAGCTTGGGACTGCTACTTGCTTTTTTCTACTGCATCCCAAGTTTTTCCAGAGACAAGCCATGTTATCGATCAGGTCTTTTTTACTTCAGTTTTTTCAGTCCAAACACAGGTTATGATTTTAGAAATGTGTGATGGGATCAAACAACGCTTTGGTTAGCTCGGGAAAACGCAAGCGTGGAAACCAAGATAAAAGTCAGCGGGTGACATATCAAAATCTCTAGCACCAGCGGGTGACATATCAAAATCTCTAGCACAAACTCGGAGTTGACTGAGGGCTGACCCTAAAGATATCCCGTTGACTTTTGTAGCGCGTTGACGTCACCGCGGAAGCAGAATGCAAGATGACAACTCCCTCTTTGACCATTGTTGACTATTGGTGACCGTTGACCACGGCACATATGGTTGGTGTGTCATTTATAGCGTCACAGTAGAGAGAACTGACAACTAAGAGAGAGACCCAAGGAAATTCTTGTGTGATCCTCTTACCGGCGACGAGACTCGAACCGTGGCTGGACAACTCGTCGGAATTAATGCAGGTTGATGGTAGGTGCACTTCCCGCCTCAATTATAGCTTGCAGACACACAAAGGTAAAAATCAAAGGTTGAAAATCACCATTTCTCAATGTAAGAAACATAATGTTTTCCAAAACCATGGTAACCTCCTCATGGGGTTTTCCACTTTACCACAGTTTAGTGGAAAAAAATCAGCCAGCATCAGAGCCAGAGCCGTCGGTGGGGCGGTTAAATGCGAGCGGCAAATTTGCCAGCGAAAGAGCGGCGGTAAATAAAAGGGAAGGTAAGTTTTTTTCTCTGGTATTTTCTTTTCCAAGGGTGAAAAGGTGGGGTGGTAATAAATCTTTGACACCACATTCATTAAATGCATGGCGTCCCTTTGGTGGCCAGTTTGCCTTGCTCATGTGCATTGCCATTCCGCAATGCTCAAACAAATGCCCTCCTTCGTCGCGTCGCTCGCCCATTCACGTTTTCCTCGTCTCGCCGCTGCGATCTTGACTCTGCTTTAAGAAATCTCCCGCGGCCAGCGGCGCTTCAAGCTTCTCGCGCTGATTTCATCGTCCAATCCAAGCAGGGGGCCGAGAAGCACGAAGACGAGGAAGAAGGAGGGTACTTCTTCATCTAGCGCAGCTTGGCTTCGATTCGGCGACGGCCACCATGGCCTCCAGCTCGATCAAGCAGCAGGAAGGCAGCAGCCGGGCAAATGGGAGCGAGATGGGAGCGATGAGCACCAGGAGCCTGGGAGGATTGAGCCCGCTCAGCGTCCATCTATGGAAGGACAAGGCCGGGCCGGACATGGAGGACATCTCGGCTCGACTTACGTGGAAGGACTTAGCGGTGACGGCCACGGCGCGCGGTGAGACCAAGCGTTTGCTGGAGCCCATGACGGGTTACTCGGAGCCGGGATACATCACCGCGATCATGGGGCCGTCTGGATCCGGCAAATCGACGCTGCTGGATGCTCTCGCCGGTGAGTCTTCTTCCTGGATAAAAAACTTGGGGATGGAAATCTTTTTCTTTGTTTTCCTGTTCTTGCTTAGAGTGGTGCTTAGATCTAGCAAAGGTGGTGCTACTGTGCTGTGTTCGAGCTTGTTTTCCTGGTTTCTCGTGGCGAGACTGCTTAGATCTTCGTGTCTGCCAGGGAGGCTGGCGAAGAACACCACTCAGACGGGTCAGATCTTGCTCAATGGACGGAAGAAGCAGCTCTCCTACGGCATTGTGGTCGGTGTTCTTCATTCTCTCGGTCTCCTCTTGAGACGAGCTCACGGTTCGTGTTCTTGGACAGGCCTATGTGACTCAAGAGGATACTTTGATTGGAACGCTGACAGTGCGCGAGACGATAACGTACTCGGCCAACTTGCGGCTCCCGGATGCGCTAAACAAGGCCGAGAGGCTGGCCATTGTGGAGTGCACGATTGTGGAGATGGGGTTGCAGGACTGCGCTGATACTCCGGTGGGGAACTGGCATATGAGAGGATTGAGCGGTGGCGAGAAGCGGCGGCTTAGCATTGGACTGGAGATTCTCACAAGGCCGAGGCTCTTGTTCTTGGACGAACCAACGAGTGGTCTCGACAGGTCTGTGTGATATCTCTTCTCTTTTGGGATTGTTTGTTTTCCAGCTCTCTTTGCGTCTTTTGGTGCTTGGATTCTTGCTCGGGAGAGATGGCTTTGTCTCTTCCAGCTTCAACTTATACTCGTTTTCTCCAGTGCCTCGGCGTTTTTCGTGATGCAAACGCTACGGAACCTCGCGAGAGACGGGCGTACGGTCGTGGCTTCCATTCATCAGCCGAGCAGCCAAGTTTTCGAGCTCTTTGACAACTTGGTCCTTCTTTCGCATGGAAAGACTATCTATTTCGGTGAAGCTGCTCTTGCTCAAGAGGTATAGTAATGCAATGGCAAAGTTCGTGACCACTTTTATAACTTTTTTTGTTCTTCCAGTTCTTTGCTTCTGCTGGATTTCCATGCCCTCCACACCGGAACCCGTCAGATCACTACCTCCGAGCGATAAATTCCGACTTTGACAGAGTCAAGGCGACACTCAAAGGCTCCTTCAAGTTTAGAGTAAGTCTCTTCTCTTCTTTGTCTTCCTCGAAAGTTTCTCTCTCATTTTTTTTTCCTTCCTCACATTCTTCGATGAATTTCTTGACAGGACTTTGAGTCGGGCGATCCTCTGGATCACGTCTCCACGAGTCAGATCATTAAAGTTCTCACAGAGCACTACCAATCGTCTGCGCAGGCAATGCAGACAGCTGCCAAAGTTCACGAGATCAATCAGACCGTAAGCTTTTCCTCGTGTGATCAATCTTAAACTTACGTTTTTCTCGTGTTTTGTCAACCAGAAAGGTGCTGTTCTCGAGTCCGAGGGCAGTCAGGCAAGCTTTTACATGCAAGCCTTGACACTCACACGAAGATCTTTCGTGAATATGTCGAGAGATATCGGCTATTACTGGCTCCGTGTGGCAATCTACATCATGCTCAGCATCGGAATTGGAACTTTGTATTATAGAATTGGCACCGGCTACAACGCGATCCTGGTAATCTTGATTCTCACCCACCAAGAAAATAATGTTACTCCATCAATGCGAAGTTGACTAAGTTTGCCTTGTTGTTTCCCAGGGAAGAGCAGCATGCATGTCCTACGTTGGTGGCTTCCTCGTTTTCATGTCGATTGGAGGCTTTCCATCGTTTGTGGAAGACATGAAAGTAAGCGTCCATTGATTCCTCCTTGGTCATCCGAACGAGTTTTTTCTTTTCTTCTACAGGTTTTCAGCAGGGAGAGATTGAATGGACACTACGGCGTGGTTGCCTTCGTGATTGGCAACACGCTCTCGTCACTTCCATTCTTGTTTCTCATCTCTCTCATCTCGGAGCTCATCGTCTACAACATGGTCCAGCTCCATCCTGGGATCACACATCAAATCTACTTCGTTCTCAATCTCTTTGCGTGCGTTGCTGCTGTGGAGAGCTTGATGATGGCTGTCGCCAGCCTCGTTCCAAATTTTCTCATGGGGATCATCACTGGAGCCGGAATCCAGGTTAAAGTTGCATTCTTTGTCATGGCATTTACATTGTTTTCTTGCACAGGGCATTTTCCTGCTTGTCGCTGGCTTCTTCAGACTTCCAAACGATCTTCCAAAAGCTTATTGGAAGTATCCAATGTCGTACATTGGCTTTCACATGTACGCTCTACAGGTATGAAAGGACCTTTGAGGTTCAAACAGCTTGACAGTCATTGTTTTGTTGCAGGGAACTTACGAGAACGATTTCCTTGGCTTGGAATTCGACAACAAGTTTCCAGGACTTCCAAAGATCCCGGGCAAGTTCATCCTCACGGACGTGTACCAGATCACAGTGGCGAGATCAAAGTGGTGGAACTTGGGAGTGATCTTTCTCATGATCATCGTCTACCGGGTCATCTTTTTCATCACGATCAAGTACGTAGAGAACGTCCAGCCGTGGGTCAGTGCGATGATGGCCAAGCACAGTGCCAAGCTGCGACGCAAGAAGAAATCAACAACACTTCCCAGCACCGTCAGGCCAGTTCTTCAGTCTCCATCACCCGGCCATCCCAACTTGACAAGGAAATAGAAAAGGGATCGACAAATGTTCCATGTACAATGCAAGAAATCACAAAGAACAAGCTTGCGGCTCTATCTGTTCAGCCTGTAAAAGCTACAGAACTGAACGCTGTATGACTAAGATGATTTTGGTGTCAATCGTTACTTCCAGAATAATCTCTATTTTATGCTGGTTGGTTAAGGAAAGAGGTTAATGCGAGATTAATTTTCAAGCTGGAATAATGTAACTGTATCTCTGGTTAAATAACAAATGCAAACAACGAGGTTACAACTTGTTACAACATACTACTTTCGATATGTTGCACACGCTTGCTTCAAGGTCATGGATTCGAAGATGCTCGATCTAGCAGCAAAGAAGAAAGGAGGCAAGACAATTGTGATGGCACGGTTGCAAGCAATCTTGGAAGCTACACCTGTCATGAAGGCGGGACGAGCTCCAGAAAAGCCATATGACTGATTCGGATATTGTAAGGCTCAAGAGCAGCAACATTTTACTCAATGGTACTCCAACTACATGTTTTTGGGTCTCCCTGGAAAGCTATTGTGAATTCTAAATAGAGAGAGGGACATGAATGATGCGCTACGTAAGCTGGATGAGGGAGATGTTGATGGTGTGCATATGCTTGGAGACATTCTTGAACGTGTTTCCATGTTGTAGATTCGTAACAACACATCTCTGGCAAGGAATGTGTCCATCTTTTGTCAAGAAAACTGAGAGATCAGTCACAGAAATATTGAACCAAATCAACTTACCAAAAGACATCTTTTTGTGGTTGGAGTGTGCTTATCTGAAGAAATGGTTGGAATTGCAGCTGCACAGTCACTTCCAAGCTTGGAACGTTCATTGAGTACAAAGATATGACGAGAATTCACTGTCATGTAATTGGTGCTAGCATCACTGCCAGGATTTGGTGGAGATTGGACCACATGACAGGTTTTGGACGTACAAGCTGGAACGAATGTTTTGAGATTCAACAACAAACAAATCACTATAACATTGAGAAATAGGTTATCTTTTCCATATGCATTTTTTTCCAGGCTTTTCTTCACTCTTGTACAATCTTTGAAGGTGACCATCATACATATTTTGCCACTGACTTATTGATTAGTTAACAAACTAATAACTATATTATCACTTAACGTTCTAAATTTATTAAGATATATAATAAAATACTTTAAAAGTGAAGTTTAAAATCTAAATATAGTCTCTATTAATAGCACAGCAATTTTACTAAATATAAATTTCTCCACAAAAATTTTACATATATTTTAAATAAAAAATTCAAGAATATTTAAAATAATTTTCTACGAACAATGTTTGATTTGCTTAAAAGTAGTGCTTATTATTTATTAATCTAATTAATTTAATTGGAAGTATAATTATAACACGTTTATAATTTATAAGTATAAGGTTAATCTTATTTTATATCAACCATTAGATAGTAGAATAACTAGAAATTGTTTAGGACAGTTTATAAATTATAAACATGTTTATAAATTAATTAATCTAAATAAAAAATAACCGTTAAATAGTAAAATATCCTAAAATATCTAAGCATATTTTAAGTATATTCACTATCATCCTCCTCTAACAAAATAAATTATGTCATATTTCTTTTCTGGATGGGTGATCACGGTGGTAGATCATTTTCAAAAGCTGTGAATCGTTGAACCATAAGAACCTCCTCAGGCCTTCTACCTTCCGGGACACACCTCAAGAAAGTCCGTGGGATTCACAGTTGGCCCGGAACAACAAACCTATCATCTCAATCGTTGATGGGAGAGGTTCTCTCCGTGCCTGAAGAATCTCAAGAGTGTCTTATCATCTGGCAAATCAGCTGTGCTTCACCCGCCACTTCTGTGGCAGAACTTCCTCTATTGAAGCTTTTGCCTTCGAAGCACAGCTTTGGAAGTCGCACGCATGGATTGTGGAACTACTTCTCTACATACTCCGGGGACATGCAAAAGAGGCAGTTGTTCAGCTCCGCATCAAGAAAATTAGAGGCCTTGCTTTCGCCTGCCATTTGGACAGAACAAATGAAGCCTTGGTCATGGAGTTTGTCACGGGGCTTATGGATATGCTGATCGACTCACGTAGCTTGATCTTCCCAGAGAAGAGGCAACAGGGGAGGTACTCTGCGAGATCAGATTGTTTGCTGCTTGGACGGGCTACCGCTGGGCTCCTGGGCGGCAGGAACTCTAAGCTGAAACCAAAAAACTCCAGGGCTTTCACAACGCAAATGTCCACTCTGAAGTTCCGGAAGTCCCTAGACGTCCATTTGGAGGCACACTTCTCACTCCCTCCCATACAACCCACGCACACATAATCCGGTTCTTCTGGTGACCAAAACCACCAGACATGACCATTCCTTACAGACCTCGCATTTTTACCATCTTCTTACCGCCATCCTTCTTCAAGCCACAGACACAATTCACGAAAGAAGTGTCTCCCTCCCAGATCTCGGAGTCCTCCACCTCTGATGGCAACAATGGAGCGGTGCAAGGTGAGGTTCCGTGACGTAAAGTTCTTCTCGCCTCTAGCAGAGTACGAGTACGAGCAAATGGTGCGCGAAATGAAGGACCTCACAGCCGATGTTCGCCACGTTCACTGGCTCGACGCCTACATCCCCGAGTGCATCAATGGAACCACGCAGCTCTCGGTGTGGAGGCTGGACAGGGAGCTGCTGCTTCTCCTGGGCTACGAGGAGCTCCCAGGAATGCACATGCTTGTCAACAGATATGTGAAGGACACCGTCATTCCGATTGGTTCATCGAGCAGGCAGTCGAGTACGAGTTTGGTCCCGAGGGTGACGACGCTGGAAGCATCGCCAAACACAGGGACATCTACATCATGCGTGGGCCATCATGATACCTGAGAGGAGGGCGTTTGCAGAAGCCCGGCCTGTGGAGAAGGCCATCCAAGCATTTACGGAGAACCAGGAACGAGCACGACGGCGGGGCAACAAGCTCAAGAAGCAAGTGTTCCTAGGGCTGCTCGTGCTGGGCACAAGCCCCGTTTTCTACAGGATTCCAGTCACCCGGCGGCTGGCTGCTTGTTTCCGTGGGAGTAACCGGCGGATGGAGGTGGAAGGTGGAGGTATGATTCGGATTTCCACGCGATGCAACGGGGGACCCGATCTACAGGGAGAAGATTGCGCGCTATCTGCTGGGCTTCAAGAAATTGCTCGAGACCAACGAGGTGGAAGAAGGATGATAAGTGTAATAGTATCCTTGTTTTGTGCATGTGAATACCAGAACTTGGCTCTTGTTCCGGATCTTTTCGTTTTGTGTTCACCCAGTGTTGATGGCTATCTTGACCATCTTGAATCATGACAAGGAAACCATTTCTCTCGGTGAAAGAAAGCTGCAAGAGAAGATTTCTTAAGTGCATCGCACAAAGGATCGTCCTTGGGGACGATTCCTGGCAAAAGCTCCCGACCAACGCACGCACTCTACAAGGCCTCTGCCAAGGATGTAAGCACTCTGAGCTGGAACGAGCTGAACCCTGGATTCTCCAGCTTCATCCTTATGATCATCTCCTTCTTGAAGGCGAAGCACTTCATCTCACAAACCGTGGACTGTGATGTTTCGTTGCTACTGCCTGTTTTCATCAAGTCTGTGTTACGTATCCTTCCAAAGGAAGCTCAAAATCGGATGATTATCCGACGCAATGCATGGTGGAGTTTCCGCAACCACGGGCTCGAATGACATAGATTTACCACAACAGACCTCAATGATGGAAAGAATGAACAGGAAAAATACTACAGTATGAATGCTTTATAAGTACAGGCATATATATATGCATCGCTTTAAATCTCTCCGAGATTGCTGCTGTAGATCCCTGTCTTCGTGTCACCTTGATTCCTGCTGCTCCAACACTCCCCTCGATCTGACAATCTTTTCAGATTGTAAAACATCTTCAGCTCTCAGCTCCCTCTAGGAAGAGAACCTGAGTCGGCTATGCAGTTGTTGAACTGCCACTGTTGTCTTTGTCAAGAGGTCTGCTGCGTTACCAGAAGAACACCTTTGCATCAATCAATCGTGTAAGCCAAAGCATCGCTACCAACAAGGGCGTAACGAGAGAAGTGCGATGATGTAAGAGCAGCGATGATTTGCCACTTTACGAGCAGCTCAGTGATGGTGCCTTGCTCTCCATGCCATCCAAGGTTCCATCCATGGATGATTGCCAGGCAACTCGTTCCCAAGTTCCCTTTCTCGTAGATCTCGCCCTCGATCCTGACGATGGCACTCACAACTCCCGTCCCGGCCGCTTCTTCTTCTTCTGCCTCGCTGCCGTGGATCATTTTCACCGCAAATGCCGCTCCATCGGATCTGCGTAAGGCTCTGTAAACTTTGGCGTGGCCTCCCCTCCCGATCTGGGACTCTGTTTGTTGACCAGAGAGGGATAAGTATCGCACAGCTCGTCGTCCAGAACCGAATGCATCTGCCGGTCGCTCTTAACTTTATAGTGTTTGAATTCTTTTTTAACACGTCTACCTGTTGTGGGAGGGCTTTAAATGCTTTTTCAGCAAGGGACAGTTTGGTCAGGCCTTCGCTCTCTCCTCTAAAGTCTGTGGTGTTGGCCATGGCGCTGGAGTCTTCCACGATCACAGTGACGAACACTTGCTTGGTTGCTCCAAGTTACAGCCCCGGGGACAGTGATCTTTTGGAAAGCAAGAAGAAGCAAATGCGTCCCAGTGCTGCCGCTCATATGCTCTGGTTTGTGCCTTACAGGACTCGCCTTCTCTTCTTCCGAAAGCCTCCTCCTCGTCTCTCCTTCGAGGCCATTGTAGCAAATCTCAAGAGCTCTCTTGCCAAGGCGCTGGTGGAGTTTTATCCCTTGGCAGGGAGATTGCTGGTGAGTGACAGCGACAATGGACTCCGGTTGGATGTGGTTTGCAATGACAAAGGCGTGCTCTTCATCGAAGCCAGTGCTACTGGAGTTACAATTGGGGAGCTTGAAAAGAATGAAGTGAGTGGCCATTTCGAGGGGATTCCGGCAAAACTAGTGGACGATCTGGCACAATGTGGAGGCTACGATATATCTACGATTCCATGGTCCTTCGATGCTCCTCTTTTCATCATCCAGGTACTTCACTATATTTGTATTGATAATTAAGTCAATTCATATGTAGGTGACAGAGCTTTCTTGTGGTGGAATTTGC